TCTGTGCGTTCTTCTCTCTCTCTCTCTCTCTCTCTCTCCCTCTCTCACATCTTCTTGTTCTTTTTTCTTTTGTTTTTTTTTCCTTTGGCAAGAATAGAGCAGTGAACTTTTATTTTTTTTCTGATAAAAAACGATTCATGAAGTTGATGTTGCCTCTGTCCCCCTTTATTTACCCGATATTATTGGTTTTGGAGAAGTGCTCATAACATGTTTGATGAAAGTCTAGAATGAAAGGTGAAGAGTTTTATGATCACATCTTCAATAATAATAATTAAAAAAAAAACACTCAACAGTGCTTTAAATCTAATTAATTAAAGATGTCATATTGTAGGGCCTACAGTGCTACTACAAAATCAAGCAAACATGACTTCATGGGATTCCACGGGTGAAGGGGAAAACAATTAGACAAACATAAGGTTAACCAGCTATCCTGTTTATGCGCTGTGTACTTTTGCAATGTTTCTCCATAGAGCTAGGAATTTTTTGAGGAGGCGTAAATGAAACCAAAATTTTGAACCAAAATAATAGTACAACTATCTCATTTAAATGTCTGTATGTTTCTTCTTTTTTTTATTCCAATAAAGTTATAAACCAAGCTTGTAATTGAGTTTATTTCACTTTTTAAAGTTTATAATCCACAAAATTTTGAAAATGTACAATGATATGATTGATTTTTGGTTTATTTGAAATCTTAGATTTGAAATATGGGATATAGTGTACATTCGGGGTATAATTGAATTTTTAAAAATCTTATACAAACATTACAATTATAAGAACTTCATACGGACAAACTGAAAGGAAAAAAAAAAGGTAAAACCTTATTTAATCAGGAAAGGTTTTTAGACAAATGTTTATTAAATAGAAGAGAAATATACACTTTTATTGGCTAAAGTTTAAACAAAGTGTAGGACACTAATTTAAATACTACACAATACATTGTTTCCATTGCCAGGAAGGTGAAGTATATATTTTTCAGAATCAAGAAAAGAAACGAAAAATTTTGTTCCAAGTATACAGAGAGTGACATAGAGTAAACATTATCTGCGAAAGTCTCTATCGCCTTTGGAAATTGAAGGCCATGATAGCAAAGGCCAAGATGATGGCAAAAAGAAAAGCGAAAGACACATTGACGATAGCAACAACTTTCAAAAAATCATAGTCATGTCCAAAACACGGGGCATGCCCAATAGTACCATCGCCGCCATATTGGAATCCTCTGCCGTGAACCAAAAAAAAAAAAAAAACAACAAACTAGTAAATTATACGAGATTGGCCATTTTAAAAGTATTTCCCGTAAATAACATATTTTAAAATATTTATGGTAAGTAACATATTTACGGTGTTAGCATAAATATCTTCGGAAAATCTATTTAGTTTAAATGCTTTTAACAGTAGTAAGGAGTGTTGAAGAAGGTGTTCAAAGAGGACCGTAGACTATGAGTAAATTTTGAGCATGTTTAGTTCATAGATTTGAATCATATTTTAATTTTCTAAATCTTTTTGTTATATTGTTTACTTTCTATTAAAAAAAATTAATTTTCTATTAAAACCTATGAACCAAAGGGATACTTTGATCTCATCGTGCGAGGAACAATGAATCCACAAGTTAAAAGGATACATGGAAAAATTCAACCTTTCATGTGACGCCTAAGATTATGCTCTCAAGGGAAGAAACTTCCAACAAAGACAAGTCAATTACTTGAAGCTTTCTTTCTTAGATTTTTCTGCCTTAATGTTAGTAGTTTGATCAAATTCTCTGAACATAAAAAATGTGTGAAATAACATAATCATCATCGTTATTAATATTCTAAGAATAATCTGACGGTTTAGAAAAAAAGTATTTATATTTTTACTGTAGTTTAAAAGTCATATTTTTATTAATCTTTTACTAGTTTCAAACCAAAGATTATTCGCTTTCATGGACCATAATTTTGTCTCTTGTAATGCAAGTGTGACCCACATTGACTTTTGTTTTAGCCACCATAGTTTGGCTAACTTGGCACACGTTACAGCGAAATAATGTCACGTCCCAAAACAAACATTAGTAACGTGGAGGCTCGTTTAGAAGTTAAACCTGATTAAGGGAATAATTAAGTATTTGAAAATATGAAAATCAACTCTAAAAGTAAATTATTAAATAAATTTCTAAACAAGTCCCATATTTTGATGGAATTAGATTTCAAGAAAGTGATGGGAACTTTCACACTTTTCTGATAAAATAAATTCAAAATTGAGTCTCTGGCATCATTCAGGGTTTTCCCCACAGGATATTCCATATTGTACATACATGAGTAAACAAAGAAAACAGTTATAGACATCAACCACAATCTAGAAATGTTTAAGGTTTACAATCCGAGAATATACAATCCTTACATTATTACAAGTCAGAGTTGGTTACAATGTCTTCATTTGAACGTCTTAAACAAAGATTCCTGGCGGTAGCAACTTACTCAGCTACTCAGCACTGCTTCTAGCGTCGTTTAGGAGGGGTTAAATACATTGAAACAGAAGAAAAATGAGCGGTAGGCCTAGTAGGATATATTTTAGAAAACTTCATAAATAAATAGAAATGTACAGTCCCAACACATCAGTCGGAACCAAACATCCTTTTTATGAAAGGAAAATATAAACTTAAATTCCGTATTACAGGCATCAACAAGTGATTTATAACTATGATAAATTACTTACATAACCACAAGCACAAACCTTATCAATGCCGTAGTGGCCCGGTCCGGGTTTTAAGTCCTACCCCTAAGGATACGATCTCCATATCCTGTCTAGGCCATCAGCAGGTTTATAAATTCGCAAAGTATCTTATCTTAAGAAAAATATCTATTAAAACTTCAAATCAGTTCATTATGAGTTCAATAGCAATAATCATATTATTGTCTTAAATCACTTTTCTTTATCAAACATGTTTATCTTTAAAAACATTTACATAGGCCAAAACACTTTAAAATAGGCTAACAAGGATATGGATAAGAATATCCTACCTCTTCGGTAGAGTTCTACAGCTAGCTCCTCATTGCCTCAACTTGAATTCCTTCGAAGCTTAGCACTTGCCTTTCCGCTAATCCCGCTATCAAAACAATATTATAAGATTCAGACTTCATCATCATAACAAGTCAAACTTAATTATGTATAATTGTATCATACTAGTGTGCCTCCACTTAAATCTAAAGTCCATAAACAATTTCATACTTCAAATCATGATTCTTTGAGAATTAGAACCCGCACAAGAAAAATAGGATAGAACAAGGATTATTGTGGCTAATCCACTCACTTGAGTTCCCAAATGAAGTTAATTTGGATTTTCCATTAAAATTTGAGGTCAAAACGAAATTTTAAAGCATTTTTGGGCCGGAACATGTGCACACCGGTCGACCGGGGACAGAGAAGTGCATTTCCACTGGTGGACCGGTGGTGTGGTGACCGGTCGACCGGTGGGAGTCTAGCAGGCCGAGAAAAATGGCCGAATTGTGAGAAAAAGTGCCAAACCCTACAAATTTAAGTTCGATTTCGAAATATCTCAAAGGAAATCAACAAATTCAGGTTCCAATCAACAAGTTAAGTTTAAAGAATCAAAACCCACAAATTTCAAACATGATTTCAACCTCAACTCATCTTCAAAATTAAATTTAAACTAAGAATTCTTCAACCAATCCAAAAACTAACTCTATCAAAGTAAAACTCTAAAATCAAGAGTAGTTTTTCCAAAGAGTTTACCTCAAATCCTTTGTTTGCAAAGAGAACTCTTAAATCCTTCATTTGCAAAGAGAACTCTTGAAGAGAGAGAGAGAGAGAGAGAGAGGAAAGACAAGGATAGACATCAAAGGATTTTTAAAAAAATAGATCAGAAAATGTGTTTGCACACACTTTTGAGGTAAAAATATAAATACTGAAAATATTTAAAATATTTGAAAATATTTAAATTTGGATATTAGAAAATATTCAATGAACATAATTAATTAAGTAAATTAAATTATGTACACTAATAAATTACAATTAATATAATTAATCTTATTAAATTTTTTAAAGTGTTACAAATAATGTCTGCCTTTGATTATTTATTTATTTATTCTTGACGTATGAATTTAGTAAGTTCTCACTACTCAAAATATTTTAATGATTTAACCAAGCTTTTTGGAAAGCATTGTTGACTTCCGCCAAAACCATAAAGACTTACGTGGCCAATTTCTCGGCTGCACTTCTAGAAGGGCATTTTCCTTCCATATAAATACGCAAGCCTTTCAGAAAAACTTCCAAATTCCAATATTCAAGCATACATTTTCGGACCAGAAAAGAAAGACAGAGAAGGCGGGACCAGAAGGGGAGAGAGAGGGACCAGAAGAGAGAGAGAGAGAGAGAGAGGGAGAGAAAAAGAAAAAAAGAAAAAAGGATAGACATCAAAGGATATTTAAAAAAGTAGATTAAAAAATATATCTGTACACATTTTTAAAGTTAAAATATAAATACTGTAAATATTTAAAATATTTGAAAATATTTAAATTTAGATAGTAAAATATATTCAATGAACATAATTAATTAAGTAAATTAAATTAAGGTGTTGTTTGATTGGAGGATTCGTATTCCGATTCGAATCATGGTTCGTGATTTGTTACAGTGATTTTTTTTACAAAAAATATATGTAAATCGAAAATAATTCTAATCTCATAATTTTAATCCATAAACCAAACGTATCCTAAGTACATTAATAAATCACAATTAATATAATTAATCTTATTTAATTTTGTAAGGTGTTACAAATAATGTCTGCATTTGATTATTTATTTATTTATTCTTGACGTATGAATTTAGTAAGTTCTCACTACTCAAAATATTAATGATTTAACCAAGCTTTTTGAAAAGTATTGTTGAATTTTCGCCAAAACCATAGAGACTCACGTGACCAATTTCTCCGCTGTACTTCTAGAAGGCCATTTTCCTTCCATATAAATACGCAAGCCTTTCAGAAAAACTTTCAAATTCCAATATACAAGCATACATTTTCGGACCAGAAAAGAAAGACAGAAGGAAAAAAAAAAAAACCATCTGGGTTCTCTTCTCTTGTGTTTGCAACTTATATAACTCAACATTGGATAGATTAGCTATACACAAACTTGAAAGCATTGAAAGTCGTTGAAGGAAAACGTTCTGGGTTTTTCGAAATGGATCGCGGCGAAATCTTTAAGGCCGGCAGTTTCAGAAGCCAAAGTTCTACATTATGGAGGAACAATACTAACGAGATTTTCTCAAAGTCTTCACGGGAAGAGGACGATGAAGAAGCTCTAAAATGGGCTGCGTTGGAAAAGCTTCCAACTTATGCTCGTTTAAGGAAAGGCATACTCACGACATCTCAGGGCCGTCCGAGTGAAATCGATGTCGACAACCTCGGACTTAAGGAGAGGAGGGACTTGATTGAGAGGTTGATCAAAACAGCTGAGGAGGACAACGAGAGATTCTTGTTGAAGCTCCGAAATCGTATTGAAAGGTACTAAACCACACGTCTTTCTTGTTTTATAGCTGTAGCTAAACAGGGGAAGCTGAGTTTTTTCTTGGAAATTAGACCGCTATTATTATTTTTCTAGTTTTTTTGATTTATGATGTTTGTGATTTTTCTTGTGTTGGATATTGCGTTTAATTGAAAATTTTCAGAGTCGGAGTTGAGCTTCCGACGATCGAAGTGCGATATGAGCATCTTAAAATAGAGGCAGATGCTTATGTAGGAAGCAGAGCTTTGCCTTCCTTTGTTAACTTCCTAAATAGCATAGTCGAGGTAAACACTCTGCAATATTAGACCATATGATCAACGTGACATATAAAAAGAAAATTACATATTGTTAGTTTTAATGTGTCGTACAGTGATTATTGTTCTCACATTTTTTTTTTGTTTCAATATTCAAGATTTTCTTCGGCTTTCTGCCAATTTTCAAAAGTAAAAAGCGACAACTGACCATCCTCGATGATGTTAATGGAATCATAAAGCCCGGAAGGTGAGGAAGAGGGATCAAATTAAATTTATTTATTCATGTTTTAATTCACATAATTGCATTGTTATGGATCTTTGGTAATCTTTGTTTTTTGGTTAAATGTAAATATTCAGATTGACACTGCTTTTGGGTCCTCCGAGTTCCGGCAAGACCACACTCTTGTTGGCTTTGGCTGGAAAGCTCGACTCAGAGTTGAAGGTGAGAGAATTTTACTTTGATAAGTTTGATTCTTTGATGGGTTTTAAATATCTAGCTCTATACTAAATTAATTTGATTACTGTAATCTCTAATAAAACATGAAAACCAAAATCTGCGATTACAGTTTTCTGGGAGAGTGACTTACAATGGGCATGGCATGAACGAGTTTGTGCCGAGGAGAACTGCTGCCTACATCAGTCAATATGATGTTCATATTGGAGAAATGACTGTGAGGGAAACTTTGGCTTTCTCTGCCAGATGCCAAGGAGTCGGGTCGCGTTATGGTCAGTTCATTTCTCGAATTGCATTGCTAAAAACAAGGTTTTATGTAAATTGATCACATGATAAATTTTTGTTTGGAAATCTGCAGACATGCTTGCAGAATTGTCTAGAAGAGAGAAAGAAGCTAATATCAAACCCGATCCAGACATCGATGTCTACATGAAGGTGAGAATAATTGGTTCCATACACATAGAATTTGTTTGTCAAAAGAGGCTAGAGAGACTTGGCTTTTTCAATTGGACATAAAAATAAGAGCTAGCTAACTACTTTCATCGTACACTGGAATTGCATTTTGAAACTTAAAATCCGAAATTAATTGAAAAAAATGTACGAATTTATGTTAAAAGTTTGAGGCTTGATGTTATTCTTTTTGGTGTATTCTTCTACTCTAGGCGGTCGCAACAGAAGGCCAAGAGACAAATGTGGTGACAGATTATGTCTTGAAGGTGAACATCCTTTAGCAGAACTTGGAATATTTTTGAAGAGAATTAGATTATTTCTCTCAATTTCTTAGTAACAATGATTAAAATCAATCACAGATTTTGGGACTGGATATTTGTGCGGACACTATGGTGGGAGATGAAATGTTGAGGGGTATCTCTGGAGGACAAAGAAAGCGTGTCACAACTGGTATAAAAACCCAACTATTAATAGCAATTCAAACACTTCCGTTGTCTTATAAGCAATTCAAACGCTTTCTTTTGTCTTATCTGTAGAAGTAAGTACTTACTAATTCAATACAGGTGAGATGCTTGTCGGCCCAGCTGGGGTGTTGTTCATGGATGAAATTTCAACTGGTTTGGACAGCTCCACAACTTACCAAATCGTTAACTGCCTCAAGCAATATGTCCATATCTTTAATGGAACCAATGTCATCTCCTTACTTCAGCCAGCACCAGAGACTTATGACCTTTTCGACGATATCATTCTTCTATCCGATGGCCAAATAGTGTATCAAGGTCCCCGTGAATATGTGCTTGATTTTTTCGAATCTATGGGTTTTAAATGTCCTGAGAGGAAAGGTGTAGCTGACTTTCTTCAAGAAGTCACATCAAAGAAAGATCAGGCCCAATATTGGGCACGAAAAGAGGAACCTTACAGGTTTATCACTGTCAAAGAATTTGCTGAGGCATTCCAATCGTTTCACGTGGGACAGAAACTAGGAGATGAGCTTGTGACCGGATTCGACAAGAGCAAGAGTCACCCAGCTGCTTTGACGACCAAAGAATATGGTGTGAAAACAAAGGAGCTCATCAAAGCTTCATTCTCAAGAGAATGGTTGCTTATGAACAGAAACTCCTTTGTCTACATGTTCAAGATTGTTCAAGTATTCACTTTAACTCCCTTGATTTTCCGTTAAAATTCTTTTTTCTAGCATATGAATTTCTAAGTTTTCTTTTTTTCCTCTTCTTTCAGCTTTGTATAATGGCCCTGGTTTCTGCCACACTTTTCCTAAGAACCGAAATGCATCATAGAAACATTGATGATGGCAATATTTACGTCGGCTCTTTGTTCTTTGCTGTGATCACGATCATGTTCAATGGAATGTCGGAGCTCTCTATGACGATTGCCAAGCTTCCCGTGTTCTATAAGCAAAGGGACCTACACTTTTACCCTGCTTGGGCTTATGGTCTTCCATCATGGATTCTCAAGATCCCTATCTCGGTCCTAGAAGCCATAGTTTGGGTGGCCATTACATACTATACTACAGGATTGGACCCAAGTGTTGCAAGGTAGTGCAAAAAAACAGAAAAAAAATTATTAACTTAATTCCAGTTGTTGAAGGTTTGATTCTTTGTCCAATAGTGATTTCACTTCACGCTTATTTATTATTTTCAACAATCGCAGGTTTTTCAAACAATTGCTTGTGCTCTTTTTAATTAACCAAATGGCCTCCAGTTTGTTCCGGGCTATAGCAGCTATTGCTAGAAACAATATTATAGCCAACACATACGGATCATTTGTGCTGCTCATGCTCTTTACATTGGGTGGTTTTGTTCTGTCTAGAGGTACAACGGATTCGTTCTGGAAATTCCTCAAAAGGGGACCACTTCTTTCATGTAATTATTTTCCTTGTAATTGATATTCATTTTTTTATTTGCTTTTATGCCAACAGAGGATATCAAGGATTGGTGGATTTGGGGTTACTGGTGTTCGCCTCTGATGTACGGTCAGACTGCGGTTCTAGTCAATGAGTTCCTCGGCAAGAAATGGAGACATGTAAGTTCTTGAAGTTGTTGGTCTGTGCATTTTGGCCTCTGGTACTCATTGGGAACAGTCGTCTGAGATTTTTGTGTTTTCCTTATTGTAATAGCGTGTAGCAGGCTCAACAGAGCCTCTAGGAATTGAAGTTTTGAAAGGCCGAGGATTCTTTTATGAGTCGAAATGGTATTGGATTGGCACGGGGGCGTTGATTGGGTTCATCTTAGTTTTAAACCTCTTGTATACTCTGGCTCTCACTTGGCTCAACGGTGAGTTTCCTCTATGTTTATTCAGTCTAATAAGTTTTTAAGTGAGAGAAAGAAGAAGCATTAAGAAAAATTACGTACTAGTGTTGTAACGTACAATTTTGCAGCATTTGATAAGGTACGAGCTGTAGCTAAAACTGAAGATCCTCAGAGCGATGGAGCCATTGAGCTGCAAGATAGTTCAAGCCACCAAGGCCAGGCAGGTGAAAGTGAGAACAGGAAAAAGGGAATGATTCTTCCATTTGAACCGCATTCCATCGTCTTCGATAATATTGTATACGCAGTGGACATGCCACCGGTGAGTTGAAAAGAATTGGACATTA